ACTCCCAACACTGCCCTCAGTACCTCCATTTTCAAGGATTCTCCCCCAAAACCACAGAAGAATGGAGTAGGGGTGGATTATCAGCAGGACAGAGATGCTGGGCTTGATGGCCATGGATGAAGCCTTGTCCACATCTGGAGCAGCAGTTGGTGTGGCTGAAGTGGAAACACAGACTGAGTCTTGACCAGATCTTAAGTCTGGAGAAAAATCACCTTAACAGGTGATTCAGCAACACACAGAATTCCACTCCTGTTGCTAAGCCACAAATGTTTAGGTGGGTCCTGAGTAGGAAGGGAGAGAGGGTATGTGCCCTGACCCCAAAAGATTCCTGCAGCTATGGTAGGGGAAACAGGGTAATGATGGGGCCTCATCTTTCCTGCTGGCAGGAGAGGAGCTGACCTGTGAGGATGTTGGCAGGGAAGAAGAAAGATCAGGTGAGATGAAAAGCAGCAGTGATTCTAGAATGCGGTAAAGGCCAGGAAATAAAAGGATGCTCAGTCTGTGAGACCACAGTGAGAGAACAAAGTAAACACAATTAGAGATAGGAGAGGGTGAGAAACAAAATGATTAATAGAAAAAAATGGCCATAAACCCAAGAATTCACGGTGATTATATTATTACACACACACACACACACACACACACACACACACACACACACACACACCTACCTCATCTGCAGAGAGCTTCCTCCTCTTCATCCCAGTTACCTGTAGGCTCCAGCTTTTCTTTCTAGCTTTTCTCCTCAAGCCAGAACCTACAGTCCCCCTGTGAGGTCCTTTTTAAGTAAGCAGTTACATTCCTGTTTTTCTTTCACATCTTCTTCATCCAGCTGGATCCAAGACCAACTTCAGTCCATTTTCCAGTCATTGAGTCAACGTGAAACATTTTGTGTCCATTGAGGTCAAAGTGCCAGGATCCATTGAACTCTCCATCTACTTCATGCCCACAACACATCATGGCCTGCAGAGTGAGGGGCTCTGTGCCCATTGGAAAGAGATCAGCCTCTGACCTTGATGAATCCTGTCTGCCTACCTACCTCCCTTCCCATCCTCTGACCTTGCTCTACCCTCCACATCTTATCCTTGTACCTCAACCTCTTAGGTGGGACTAGCAGTGATGCATTTTACCTCTATGAAAACAAAGAATGTCCCTAACCTCTCACAAATCCTGTTCTTTCCTTCAGGGGCCATCTGATGGTTCTTTTATTTACTTTGTACCAGTGGGGATTGAACCTAGGGCCTCATGAATGACAGGCAAGCACTCTACCACTGAGCTACCTCCCCAGCCCTATGTGGCCATTTGAAACTTACTTGTCATTGTAGTATTCTCTTGCTTCATGAGCATCACTTGCTCTTTGAACAGGTCAACTCTATCTTTCAGAGTGTTACCCTCTTTTTCACAGATCCTGTGGCCTTCAGTCTGTTCCCCAGAACGCCATTGGCCTGACAGTTATTGTTACTGTCGCAGTAAATAAAAGTTTCTGTGTTCAGTTGGCCTTGGGCTTGCCACCATGGTCCAGACCCTGACTTGCCCACAGTGAAGCTGTAGCAAAGAGAAGCAGCATCTGTGAAGGAAACATGCAGTGAGGTCAGGGATGTGGAGCAAGGGCTCAGAGACAGTCTCTGCCTGTGGAACAAGAAAGTCCTCTGGAAGGGAGTTCTAAAAAAGGAAATAGAGAAGGGAAGAAAAGAAGAAAATAAGGAAACAGGAAAGAAACAAATGAAGAAAGGAATGAGTGAATAAGGGAAGAAGGAAAGGAAGAAAGAAAGGAAGACAATAAAGACTTGACCACCTTGGCTGATTAGCTTCAACTGTCAGTTGGATACAGCCTAGAGTCACCTAAGAAGGGCATATCTATTGAGGGACTGTTTTGGCTGTTAATAATGTAGGAATGCCCAGCCCCTGTGGGCATTACCATTCCCTGGGCAGGTGGTTCCTGGCTAGATAAGGAATCTAAGCTCTAAACCAGGGACCTTGTCCTGTCATTTCTAAATGACCCAGAAGTCATAGGCTGCATAGAAGCCAGTGCTGACTAGGAAACATGCAGCTTTGGCAATACATTTGAAGACACTCTAGGGGATGGGCACCAATACTTGCACATGGGATATACCCTAAACTAGGTCAGAAGAATGATGGAGGGCAAATCTGTTGTCGTGTTCATCAGCTAGTTGCACTCTGAATCTGTCACAATAAATGCAGGATTGAGTATTTGATGCAGGACAGATGTACGGCTTGCCAGGTGGAAGATACTTAGTTTCTGCCACTTACAGAAAAAAAAAAAAAAAAAAAAAGACAACCCATTCCTGCCTAAATGAACACTCTTATCAGATGCCATCTCCCCAGGAGGTCGACTACATGGGTCTGGGAGGCAAAGACAGAACTTCCCACATGTCCCCACCCAGTACCATTGCCAGGGTCTACCATAGTCAGCCCTGATAATCTGAGGTGCGAATTCACAGATTGCTACCTGGTAGAAAAGGAGCTGAAAGGCACTTTATGGATGAGAAAGTGGGGAAGGTATATGTGCAGGGGAGGGGGCTGAGCAGGCTGGTGGTTGATGAGTCAGAGGGGAATCAAAGCTGAGCCTCAAGGTACAAATCTCTCATCCCAGCACTTGACAGACCCAGGGAGAGAGGCGTTGATACAAAGTCTATAGTGTGGGCCATGGTGTGAAATCCTGACTTAAAACAAAGCAACAGCAACAATAAAGGGGGGCGGGGAGTGAGAAGTGGGTGGTTGGGGCCGCCTTGTCCCTGGAAGCATCTATTGTGATCTGCTGGAAAAATACCTTGGGATAATGGGAAAGAAAGTTTGGCAAAGAGGTTCAGGAATGGCTGAGGGCTTGTGAGGAATCCCCCTTGGAAGGGACTTCAGAAGATGCAACAGCCAAAGGAGCTGTCTTTAGGGACACTTGGCCACGGAGTGGTGCTGCCCACCTTTAAACCCAGCAATCTGGAGGCAGAGGCAGGTGGATCTCTGAGTTAGAGATCAGCCTGGTCTACAGAGTGAGTTCCAGGACAGACTCCAAAGCTACACAGAGAAGCCCGGTCTTGAAAAAAACCACCGAGAGGATTCTGGCATCTTGCCTTCATGATTAGCCCTCCAGGCCTTGTAACTTTCGGGTTCCTTTCCTTAGCAGGAAAAGTTGGCAGGGCTGGCGGCCTGAGATTGTGTGTTGCCATGCTGGGTTTCCTTGGGTCCAGGAGTTTCTAGGAGGAGTACTGCTACCTCTTGATTCAATAGCCTGTTCCCTCCCCACCCGCCACAACCGGTAAGGGTCCAGTTGGATGGACCAAGGCAACTCACCAGCGGCCAGTGTGGACCGCAGACAGATCAGTAGAAAGGAGAAGCGCAGAGCCTTGGTGGAAGGATGGTGCTTGGTGGCTCCCTTCTTTGCCATACCCTGAGCAACAGGAGCAGAGAAGAGATGCAGTGACTAGAGAGAGGCACCTTGCAGAGGACCCTGCTCAAAGAATCACAGAAGTGCCAGACACAGGGCTGTAAATTTTCACTGCGGGCTCTGTAAAATGCTCTTGCCAAGGACCGCCCTCTGTGGTCACACCCTTTCGGAGGCACAGATATGATCTGAGTAGTACAAACTGGCTTTGGTTTGTGTGTGTGTGTGTGTGTGTGTGTGTGTGTGTGTGTGTGTGTCCAGGCTCCAAAAGATCTAGTTCTCTCCCAAGAGCTCAACCTCCACTCTGCTTTGCTCTCTGGGTGACTGGTAGCCAAAGCTGACTACCATGATGGCAAAACACCAGAATGGGGCCTGTGTAACCAAAGGCCAGCCATGCCCACAGCAACCAGGAGTCACAACAGGAGTGTCTGTCCCGAGTCTTTGCCACACACCTCCTTTAGTTCAGCCATACCACCATGCTCCCTGGCATCAGCTCCCTTCAGCCCCCTAATTCTGGGTTTCCCCCCTGATCTCCAGCTGGCCCTTCCATTCTTCCCACCACCTTCCCTGTGCCTACATCTCAATCCTGGATTCATTTTCCCCACCAGCTCCCTTCCCCTCAACCCTGTCCTCCCCCCTCATGTTACTTATCCTAATTCTTGGCCCAGTGGCCCAGCTCATCCATCAACACACTGCCCTGGTCATCCTCCCCTCCCCCGGCCTCCATTTCCTTCCTTTACCCACACCCCCCTCCATACACAGAAGATAATCTTGTCAGCAAGGCTGTGATTTTTCTCCTTTCCTCTGGGACCCTGGAACCTAAGGCCTTCAGAAAAATTCTACAATCACAAACTTATTCCACTTAAAAGCAGATTCTGAGACCTGGGGAGATGGCTCAGAAGTTGAGAGCACTGACTGCTCATCCAAAGGACCCACGTTGGAAGTCCATCACCTCTTCTTCATTGTTACAGGAGTCTTAGGTATGTGAGTGTCTTCAACCATAGGGACTTAATTCCACCTCTGGAGTAACAAGGACAACAGCCAAAGGCTGAATGTACTGGGAGCCTCTTGAGGTCCGATTGGACAGCCCTGACCAACAACTCAAGAGAGGGCTTTTGTCCGGCATTGGAGTTTTGTTAGGTGGAATCCAGGAAGGCAGTCTTCAGAGCATAGACTGCCTCAAGTCCAAGGGAGCTGTCTGAGCCTCTTGGCAGGGTCTGGCACTGTGCCCATCACTCAGGTTCTCCTGACTTCATTTTGGCTCTCTGTGGACCCCAGTGTGGCTGAAGCTTGTAGGGCCTTCTTGGGTAGCTGTTGTCTTGCTTCCTGACCTTGACCAGATGTCTTCCCTATGCTGATTCCCTGCTGGTTCCTTTCTTCCTGAATGCCCACCAGAGGTTCTTTGTGTATCCCGCATTTGCTGTGAACAGCTTAGATGCCAGAATGTAGAACATCAGTAGAGAACTTCTGCCCTCCGGGGTTCCTCCATCGTGCTATAAGCCTGTATTTAAGGTTTCCTTCCCTCTTTCAATAAACAGCATTCAGCATTCTGCTGAGGTGAATGACCAGCTGTCTCTTGTCTCTGTTTTCTGATCCACAGCCCCTTGCTTGGACATGGTGAACGGGTGGTGGTAGTGCAGGCATTACCACTCACAAATGGAGCTTCCACCAGGATCAGAGAAAGAAGGGACGTAGCTGATGGACACCCGAAAGTGAGGCTGGCCAGCATTTTAAAGAAAAGAGAAGGTAAGGGTGAACTGTCATGGGTGCAATAAGGCACCACCTGTAAGGCCAGAACAGCTGAAGATTTTAAATCTTCCCCATATAGAAGAGGGAAGGAAAGGAAATTTCCTGTTAGAAACGGAAGAAAATTTTAATCAAGAAAAAAGGATTTTCCCAATAATAAGGGGAAAAATTTTGAAACTAGGCCTAAAGATTTTGAGGCCCTGTTGAGGAAGGATGAAGGAAAGAAAAAAGCCTCTTCCCAGTGGTAATGGAGGAAGAAAGGGCTCTTCCCAATTTAAAAAATTTCGGGATAAACTAAAACTCTGAGCTCTTTCTGCCTGCCAGCACAGAGCGGTAGCCTCTGAATTACAAAGAGTCGGCAGATGGGCCTCACTGCTGCTGCCTGAACAAGCAAGGGAGCCCAGAGGTTAGAAGTTTTGTTGTCTGTTTAATGTTTTTTTTTTTTTATTTTTCCCTCAGAGTGGGAATAATTCACTATTTAGGATCTCATTGTGGGAAATGTTTTTCTGTTTTTCCCTTAATGGTGGGAATAACTCAGTACTAGGTAATCCCTTCTTGGGAGAAAGAGGAAGTTTAAATGGGGGCTCCTGTGTGCACAGTGGACAAAGGCACGTGATAGCTTAGAGCAGCGGGTGGGCAGGTACACGCTGGTGGGAGGTGAAGCTGCTGTGAGGGGAACAGACTCATGGGCAGGCAAGCAAGCAGAGGCCACCAGAGGGACTAGCACTAAAAGTTTAAACGGGCCCAACTGCTGGTGAAAAATGGTTTCCGTCAGGACATGGAATGCTAAGTCAATGCTGTTTGAATTTCCAGGGATATTAACCATTCATTGTATAAAGGATGTTATGTTCTTTTGATTGTCTTAATAAATGTTTGGATGAATGTTTGATTCTCATGGTAGATAAACTAAAGAAACAGGATTCATAATTTTAAACTATATATTAGGTATGCTCTTGTCTGTTTATCGTTACTGAAAATTTGGCTCTGCTCTTTAAGTTGCTTTCTAGAATTCTATAGAAATATAACACCTGAAATGGATTGGGCTGTTAGCTTATTAAATAATGTTGTTGCTAAGATAAACCCATAAAAAATTTCTTACTGATAAAGAGGCTACAAAATTATTTTTCCAGTAAATAAAATGCAGGTAAATTGTTTGGTCCACATTGTTAATAATTGGTGATTTACATTAATGTGTTACTTGGGATCTATAAAAAAAAAGGATCCTCTTTTTAAGATTTTATGAAAATACTCCAGAGTATTACCTAAAGTTACCTCTTCAAATCCTATAGAGATTGTATTTAATGCTTTTATTAATTGGCATATGTAAAAAGGACCATGGAAATAAAAGCTGGTGATAGAATTGCTCAATTATTATTGCTTTCATATTTTAAATGCAAAATGCTACCTATATGTAGAACTGGAGGCTTTGGAAGTACAGGAGAAAAGGTATTTTGACAAACAGTTATCAATGATAAACAGCCTAAATTAAAAATAAAATTATATGGGATTAGGATTGAAAGATTACTAGATTTTGGTGCTGGATATATCTATAATTTCACAAAAATCCTGAGATCCCAACTGGCCTCTACAAGAAGTCAGGAAAATGGAGACTATTACAGGATCTTAGAGCTGTAAATAAAACCATGCTTCTCATGGGAACAACACAGCCTGGTTTTCCTGCCCCTGTGACAATTCCTAAACACTGACATTTAATTGTGATTGACTTATATGGATGATATTTTATTGGCTGCTAAATATAAAAAAAAAAAAAAAAAAAAAACCACCTGTTTTTGATGCCTTTTCTAAATTACAAGAGGTTCTTAGCCTGGCTAATTTACAAATAGCCTCAGAAAAGGTACCGGTATCCTTTCCCTATCATTATTTAGGTCATAAATATTTTGTTTTTCTCATTCCCCTACTGGAGTGTTTTGGCAAACAGGTCCTATTTTATGGGTACATTCCCCAGCTTCTCCAGCAAAAATCATTACTCCTTATCCTCAAGCTGTTGCTCAGATTATATTTAAGGGAATTAAGATTAGTGTTCAAACTTTTGGTAAGGAGCCAGATATTGTGGTGACCCCATACACCCAGTCTCAAATAGCATGGTTGCAAGCTAATGATAATGATTGGACCATATTGACATGCTCCATGCAGGATCAGTTTGATACTCACTACCAATGCTGTGTGTCTTTTTTTTTTTTTTTTTTTTTTTTGGTGAGCAGAGATCTTAAGATTTATTACCATTTTTTCTGTTTTCTTAACAAACTAATCTGGGTACACATTACAGAGTTGACTCAAAGCATTAACAGAACCCAAATATTAACCATTGGCTAGTTCTCCTATATTTTCTCAAAATCTGGTGCAGGAACAGATGTAAGTAATCAAAAACTTATATTGCAAAGGTAATATAACACAGTTTCAATTACAAAGTTGAGCATTGGAAGAAGTACCCAAAAAGAAAACAGATGAAACAATTCCCATCATCTAGAATTAGAACACAAAGTTGCCGTATACCAAGTATGGTGCACACCCAGATTAACCTTGACCACCCCCAAATTACTTAAAATTTTTACTCTCCTTTTTAAAATCAGTAATTAGCCAGCCCCATGTTCTTAGGAACGTGGTACTAATCCATGGGGCCCTTTCTGGCCTGGGCCCTCTCTTCCTCATCTCCCAACGCCTCACTATATAAGGATGAGAAATAAATTGGGTCCCTCCTTGTAAATTTGGTCAAAAATTCTAGAACTTTCATCTTGGTAGTTTCAGAGTAGGCTCTTGGACCCCACAGGAACACATAATGTGGATGATAACTGTCGGGCACCTGCCTGTATCTCAGATAATTTTGCTGCACTAGATCTCTAGTGAGGAACTCCCTGTGCTCCCCATAAATAAAGTGCTCCTTCCCATCATATATTCCTACCACATTCAGGAATTCCCACACACTTTCTTCAGAGGCACAGTTTCCCTCTATGAATATCACACCCAGAGTAATTATCAGGAAGCCATTTCTAGGCAATCTCCAGTTGCTGTCATCATATGTGAGGTTCAGTGTGTTGGTAAGAACATAAGATCTGCTTACAGGATCATTTTCCTTCATATCAATGCCAAAAATCATCTCCAAGCACTTAGAAGCTTCCTTAAAGATGACAGGGAATTGTTTCCTGTGGTCTTCTGTGACAACCCTGAGTTTTTCCACTTCTTCAATGCATTCTTTCATTCTATATTTGAGAATCAGGAGATTGACCAATTGAGATACCTTTTGCTTTTTGAGTTTTTGCCACTCGGCATCATCATCTGTCAACTTCAAAATGGTTAGCCTCTCTTCTTCTAGGATGCCAGATTCTTCATCTAAGTTGCTACATGAAATGAAGGAGTAAGAGCTCTGGCAGCTCTGGGAAATACTCAGCATCCAGGAAACAGACCCTTCTGTCCCATCTGGACTGCCCCAAAACAGAGGACAGGATGAGAGAGTGGAAGGTGGGGAAGGGCAGGAGGGGGGTAAAATGATTTTTAAAGAGGCAGATAATGTGGAAGAGATGGTGTCAATGTTAGTAACCTCCCATCCTTCCTCCTCCTCTTCCTCTTCTTCCTCCTCATCCACTTCTTCCCCTTCTTCCACTTCCTCCTCTTCCCCTTCTTCCTCCTCCTCTTCCCCTTCCTCCTCCTTTTCCACTTCTTCCTTCTCTTCCATTTCTTCCTCCTCCTCAGCTAATCTATGTATTTCAAAAGCATCCTGGAAAACTTTTTCAAGGCTAAAGTGTGGAAAGTATGGCATAATGAATTTGACTGGAGATGGTAGGCTGGTGTAATAGCAGAAGAATGGGTGGGTGGATCCCACATACAAAACTTCTTTGTAGGTGATGTCTCAGAGCCCTGCTAGCCTGCTGCTTTCCTGTTGCTTATCCTACAGGAAGCTCCCTCTGGCAAGCAACAGATTCGTCAGGAAACTTGGGTGGTATTCCCAATGTGTGTCATTTTTTAAAATTGCATCCTGTTATATTTCCCAAGATAGTACAGGTGACTCCTATTCTTCAGGCCCATGTGGTATTTACTGATGGCACTTCATGTGGTTTTGCTGTGGTGGTTTCTGGTAACATAGTGAAGAGAATGAAAGTCCAGGGCACTTCCACCCAGATGGCAGAGGTACAGGCACTGTTGCTTGCTTTACAGATGTTTTCTGATGAGTGTGTAAATATTTATATGGATAACCAATATGTGGCACATGCAATTATGCCTTTGGAGACAACAGCCTACATACCATCCATCTCTCCCATTCATGAATATTTATTGCAAGTGCAAGGACTCATATGGTCCTGCTCACATAACATTTATGTGGGCCATATTTGAGCTCATACTCAATTGCCTGGACCTCTAAGCGAAGGTAATCAGAGGGCTGATGCCATTACTCGTATGGCTGTCACATTAATTTGTTCTGCCTTTGAAAAGGCTACTCAGTTGCATCAACGTTATCATCTTGATTCTGGATCTCTCCACCATCATACAGGCATAACCCAGGAACAAGCCATCCTGACAGTTAAATCATGTCCTATTTGTGGTGAATTTTTACCTGTTCCTCATTTGGGAATTTGTCCCCAAGGAATTTTACCTAATCATATGTGGCAAATGGACGCCACACAGGGCCTATATGGCAGTGCCAAAATATGTAAAGACTGATAATGGTCTTGCCTACAGGGATTTTCAAAGTTCTGCCAAGATTTTTCTATTGTTAGGAAGACTGATATTCCTTATCATCCTCAAGGACAGGCTATAGTACAACACAGCCATCGCACCTTAAATACATATTTTGCTAAAGTAAAAAGGGGGGGCCATCTAGGAGCTAATCTCTCCTCCCCACATTCTATTCTTTCCCTTATTTTATATATTTAAATTTTTTATCCGTGTATTCTGCTGGAGTATCCACTGCACTGGAGGGCTCCTATTGCAAATTATCTTCTGGTACAATGGAAGGATCTTTCTACTGGCACCTGGAGAGAACCCAAT